CACTTCGCAAGAGCAAAAGAGGAATGTCGCATTATTAATTATGTATTCGAAAATTATTTCATTCTTTACTGATTGATATCGTATTTATTTATTTTTATCAATAAATTATTAATTAATAAATAATTAATAACTAAATAATAATTAACTGATAATTAACAATTAATAAATTATTATAATTAAGTAAATTCTAAACAATTATAATTGTTCAAAAATTATTTAATTCTATACTAATTTATCTTGTAATTATTAATATTATTAATAACTTATTAATAATTAATTAATAATTAATAAATTATAATAAATAATTAGTTATAATTGTAATTATTAATTAAATATAGTATAATAATTAGTTATTATAAATTAAATATTTTAATTAATTGCTATAATAATTATTTTTCTAAAGTTTCGAAGGTTCAAATTTTTTTGAACATTTTTTCTATTCAAATATTTTTGAAAATTATTACAATTAAATGCAAAATAGTGTTATAATAATTAAACATTTTCTCTGTTAAAAATTATTTTCTTTTATTAAATTCATATTATATTTATTATTTTGTCAAAAAATAATTTAATAAATTGATTAATTAATAAAAATAAATTAAGATTTATTTTAATTTATTATAATTATTATAAAAATTAAATTATTAATGAATAAATGAATTGATAATAATTTAAAATAAATAAATTCATTAATAGTTCGAAACTTTTTAGTTTTTTCGAAAGTTCGAAACTTTTAGTAAGATTAATTAATAAATTAATTAATAAAACATTAATTAATAGATTTAATTAATAAAACATTAATTAAATATTTTTATGATTATTAAAACATTGAACAGATCGTAAAAATAATTAATAAGTCAATAATTAATAATTTATTACGTAATTAATCATTTATTTTTGAAAAATTTATTCATTCGTAATTAATTTATCAATAATTGGAACAATTTTTATAACAAGTAATACATAATTAATAGACGATTAAATTTATAAGACATGCAATTGTTGAAAAGTGTAAGAAATATAAATTAAAAACTCGAAGTTGTGTAAAAGGAGGAGAGAAAATAATATTTGCATAAATGACGCTGTTGATTAAATTCAATTTTTTTTTCTTTTTGTGGAATTCATCTTCTTGATTATCGAAACGAAAGGGAGTAATAATTAAAATTTAGTGGAGAAATAATATTATATTACATTAAAAATAGAAAAATAGAAAATAATAACAATATTAATTCCGGGAAAATTTAAATATTATTGTTATTAATATTGGAATTTAATCTTCTATAATTTAATGATTTTTTTTTATAATAATAATAATAATAATAATAATAATAATAATAATAATAATAATAATAATAATAATAATAATAATAATAATAATAAAAATAATACAAATAATAATAATAATTTAAATTTTGTTACATTTTTTATTAAATTTTATTTTTACTATTATTATATTTTTATTAATTATTTTATTACTATTCTTTTTTTTCGTGCGTGCAGCAAATTTATCGTGAATTTTTTTCTTCATCGCCTTCAATAAATGAGAAAAGAAAAAAAATGATTAGAATTGTAATAATAGAAGATTAAAGTGATATTTTTGACAACAATTCAGAGAGTGAACGCGAGAGATTACAATGAAAAAAAAATCAAAGAACTTGCTATCAATGTATAAAATTATTACAATATTAATTGTTGTTTGGAATAATTTGACAACACTATTTCAATGATATTTTGTAACTTAAAGCCTTTCTTTGAACGTTCCTGCGGTTTGTGTCTCGTAACCGGATACAACTTGGTTTGTATTTAGTTACCAGACGTATTTATATGTTGCAATTCGCATTTCATTTTTTTTTCTTTTTTGCTTTTTTTCACAATAGAAAAGTTCATTGCATCCAACGGAAAATGTGGAGCAAAAATTTTATCTACAAGATAACAAGTTCTTTTTTTTCGAAAAAAAGATAATTTATAATTTTTCTTTTTCTCATTCAGAAAATAAGATTTTTTACCACGTTGAAGTCCACAACGTTTATCAACGAAAAAAATTGTTTACTTGATAAATTATTAAAATATATCGCAGCAATATTGACACAACAATATTTAGAAAAAATAGATTGATGTTTATGTTCTGATAATAATTGTTATACAATTAAATATTAAATTAAAAATAATATTCGAATAGATGAAACAAATTTTTTTCATTGATCAACGTTGTGGACTTCAACTTCGTGATTTTTTTCACTATTTTTCATAATCCAAAAAATTTTTTTCGCTGTTCTTCATAATCAAAAAATATTTTTTTTTTCAAACAATAATTTTACTTTTTTTGCATTTCTTTCTCTTCTAAAAATAATTTACGGTAATTTATTTTTATAATTTTTCTCTCTTCTGAGTCTACAAATGATTTACTATTTTTTACTATTATAATTATTATTTATTTTTTTTCGTTTTTCGTTTTTTTTTTGGTAATTATTTCCCCTTCGTTTCGATGAATCGATCGAAAATAGTATAGTTGCGTATGAGTGGAAAAAAAGAAGATATGATAATTTTGGAGAAGCGTAGACGCGTCTGGTTCCAGACACTCAAGCTTTCAAGGATGGTAGCAAAACCTTTAAGGACACTTGTAAAAAAGCGAGTGTCACGAAAGTTGTTGCCATTATTAAGTCAAGAAGAATAAGAAGAGGAAGCCACTTTTCAAAGGTCCCGTTGGTGCACGAAGGGAAGTTCGTGAATGGCAATGTGTTCAAGAACAAAAAGGAAAAATAATAATGGAGTTTGACGGGCGTTATAATAAGAATCAAAGGTCGAGACAAGGGTTAAGTGTCGGCCAAAAAGTGGTATGTACCCAAGATGCATTGAGAAAAAAAGGTCACTCTCGAAGTGGAAGATCGAATCACTTGTGTGACGTCAATTATTGTGCAAGGAAACATCATAATCAGTGACTAAAATTTCAAGCCAAAAAAAATTCAATTTCGCAGTAAATTTCAATTTTCAAAGTATTTTCCTCTCAATTATTTTTTAATGTATTTTCTTTTCATTTAAATTCATTCAGTCGAAACAAATTTCTATATTTTTTTTTTAATTCAAGTCAAAAATTTGAATATAAATAAAAATATTTTCAATTCGAATTAAAATTTTCTATTTTAAATATTTTTCAATTAGAATAAAAATATTTCCATTTCGAATTGAAATTTTCCGTTTTAAATATTTTCCAATCCAAATAAAAATATTTTCAATTTCAAATCGAAATTTTCGATTATAAATATTTTTCAATTCAAATAAATTTTTCCTAAAGTTTTTAAAAGTTCATATGAACGAATATTTTTTATCCCTTTAAATATTTTCGAAAATAACAAGAATAAAATCAAAACTATAATAAATTTGATATTTAGAGAGAGTAATTAATTCTCTGAATTAGCGAAAAAAATTATTTTTAACAAAATGCTTTCAAAAATGATTAGAATAAAATCAAAATTAAAATAAATTAGACAATTTATAGAGAAAAATTAATTTTCTAAATAAACGAAAGAAAAATATTTTTGTAACAAAATTCAGAGTTGATCGAAATGAAAAATAAAATTTTGAAAAATTACTAAAAAAATCAAGAGTAAATTAAATTTAAACATTTTTAGAGAGAAATTAATTTTCTAAATGAATGAAAAAATTATTTTTGAACAAAATTCAGTTGCTTGAATGAAAAAAGAAAAAATCGTCCTTTCATTTGAGCGTTTGGAATTTTTTTGGGAAATTAAATAAAAATATTTCCAATCTAAATATAAATATTTTCAATTTTGATTTAAATTATTCAATTCGAATTTAAATATTTTTATTTTGAATTTATTTAGTTTTGAATTGAAATTGATTGAATTGAATTGGATTTGAATTGAAAAACTGAAAAAAATAAATTGAATAATTGAATTGAAATTGAATAATTGAATTGAAACTGAATAATTGAATTGAAATTGAATAATTGAATTGAAACTGAATAATTGAATTGAAATTGAATAATTAAATTGAAACTGAATAATTAAATTGAAATTGAATTGAAACTGAATAATTGAATTGAAATTGAATAATTGAATTGAAACTGAATAATTGAATTGAAACTGAATAATTCAATTAAAATTGAATAATTCAATTGAAATTGAATTATTTTTACACAAGTTTCAGTCACTGACAAGAAAGCGAAATATTTTAACAAACATTCAATAACTACTCGCCCGGAAAATTATTACACAACAAAAAACCGAGTTTCACATCTAAAACAGAGAAAATAAAATTGAAAGATCTGATAATGCAAAAGAAAAACCGTTTAAACGTACGTATTAAGCTAAAAGCGCGATTCCTTTAAAACAAAAAAAAGACTTTTAAAATAGATTTTAATCTTCTTGGTAATTTGTTCTCATTTACAACAATATCTTGGTGTTTCGAAGCAAAAGCTTCGACCTCGTTTCCATTTAAAATTGTAGTAAAACCAGCCCCTCGCGCCGACAAAATATATAGGAATAAAGCCTGTACTAAAATCGCTCGAGTATCTGTTCAGCTGCTCTCGTCAAGACAATCACAATTGAGTTTTTTTCTTTTTTTTTTCTTTTACGAATTCATTATTATATTCCCTTATTCTGTCTCTCTTTCTATATATATATATATACGACTATTTCTAAAAATCTAATTAGAAATGAGGTACATCCGAAGTGATATTTCATTGTCATAGGCAGACGGTTTTGACTCATCGACAAATCAAGTGCAAATGCACTTATTTTTAATTAGGAAAGAGGTGGAGAAAAAAAAATTCATTCGTCCTTTTTCTCATTGAGAGGGAAATCGAAATTATTTTTGGAAAAGTACATTCGAAATATCTGACAAATTTTACTGTTAGAATTTTTTTTCTTTGCATTTTTGCAACGAATTGACAATTAATTTAATAATTGATATTTTAATTTTTAATTGAATTTAAATTTAATTTTTTCCAAAAAAATTGTCAATTTCTGTTATAATTACATTTTAGGATGTCAATCAACAAATTTTATCATGATAAAATTTTTCAATTTTATCAATATTTTTTATTTTTAACAAAAAATTAAAAGCAATCGAAATTTTAATTTCTTTACCATTTTTTTCACCAATCAAAATGGCTAGATTTTTGTTTCAAATAAAAACAATTGTTTGAAATTATTTCCAATCAAATGAAATTTTCCAATAAAGAACTATTTTACGATATCAAATTACTTTCTTCAATGATACGATTTTTTAATTTTACCAATATTTTTTACTTTTAACAATAAAAAAATTAAAAACAATTTGATTATCAAAAAATTCAAAATGCAATTTTGAAGGAAGGACGAATTACATTTTTGTTCTCCTCTCAAATCTATGGTCGATGACATTGTTTCAAACCTACTTTCTTTACCTAACATTGACCTATCTAAAATATCTAATTAAAAACTAGAAAACTCGATAACAATAAAAAAAAAGAAATAGTAATAAAAATAATTTTGACTGATTTGAGCACTGTTTTTTTCTATACAATTTCCTCACAATTTTTTTTGTCTGCTACTTTTGTGCTCCTTTTTTTGTTAAATTTACTAAATTACAATTTAATTTAATATTTATTTTTTTTTTCATGAACACAACGATAAAATGTAACTATCCTTTTTTGGTTGTTATGTACTTTTCATTCTCTCTCATTCTTTCTCTCTTTAGAACTGTGATATAGCAAGATTTAGGCATGAAATAACTACGGAAATAAATAACATTCCTAGATTTAAATTAATATTTTTGTTTTTTCTTTCAAACAAGTACCTATTATAGGTAAAAAGATTTCTCGGTTCATTGCACTAGCATTCTTTTTTTTTTCTATTTTTTGAGCATACCATAAGAATTATTTTGTGAAAATTAATTTGTTAATTTAATTTCTTTAATTACGATTCGCAAATACGATTCTTATTTTTTGAGATTCTTTAAACACATACAATTTAATATGTGTGAAAAAAGAATTTTTTTTCTGTCTCTACTTTTTTTTTTCTTCCTTCCTTCGTGTATATAATATACGTATACGTATATGTATGTTGAATATGCATCATATATATGTGACTTTATATATGTACATATACATACATAATTTTTGTGTCTCTTATCCATGAGCTTTTTAAGTACAGAGATGATTCTTCTCCTCAGTATTTGACTTTAGCCTTGACTTCCTCGGCAATTCCACCCCATTTTAACTTGTAGACTCGCGATCTCCACTGAATCAGGGGATCAAGAACTGCCTGCAGAAATAAATACGGCCTGAAAATAAAAAATTTAACATTTAATTTCAATTCAACCTTTAGAAGAGTTTATATATGCAAATTTAAAATATAAAACAACCTCTCTTTCTCACACGGATTCATCTCACATTTTATATACACGTTGAGGATTAAAAAAACAAAAGCTTTGAATTTTTCGACCATTCTCAAATTAAATTTTTATATTCCTTCTTCTCTTCTTTAGAATAAAATTATTCACGTTTGCAATTTTTATTTCGTTTTCAGTTGTTCCGGTTCTTTCTATTTATGTCATTTTTTATTTTTATTTTTCTATTTTTGGTATTTTTTTTATGTTTATCAATTTTCTATTTTTGTCGTTTCTTTATTTTTGTCATTTTTCTATTTTTGGTATTTTTCTATTTCTGTAATTATTTTTTATGTTTGTTATTTTTTTTATTTTTTTATGTTTGTTATTTTTTTTATGTTTATCAATTTTCTATTTTTGTCGTTTCTTTATTTTTGTCATTTTTCTATTTTTGGTATTTTTCTATTTCTGTAATTATTTTTTATGTTTGTTATTTTTTTTATTTTTTTTATGTTTGTTATTTTTTTATGTTTGTTATTTTTCTATTTTTGTCAGTTTTTAATTTGTCACAATTTTTGTATTTGAAATTTATTTACTTGAAAATGTAGAAGCTATATTTTATTCTATATATTGAAGGGAAAATTAATTACGCTTTTCGTATTATTATCGAAAGTAAAATTAAATTACGAATTTAGGAGAAAAGTTTTATTTGCGTAAACTTTCTGTTAGAAACATAACAAAAATGTCAAAAACAGAAATCTGTTTCAGAGTGAAAATTGTTTTCGATAATTTTACTATTGCACACAAGAGAATATAAATTCAAAGCAAATTGATTTCTGTCGATCTTGAACTTCAAGGCAGTTTTGTATTTTTAATTTACTAATTATTTCAAGATGTTCGTATCGCATTATTATTTAAACACTTTAATCCAATTCTTAAACATTTTAAAATTATAAATCTGGAATGTTATGAAAGTAAATATTATTAAAGTAAATAATAAATTAAATGTTAAATTAAATTAAAAAATAAATTAAATTAGAAATAAATACTTGTTAATAATAATTGACTCTAATTATTATTTTTTTGATTGATAACTAATTTGAAAAGATAATTCTGACAAATATTTTCCAATGCCCAATTAGAACTGTACTAAAAAATAATTGTCGAGGAATTAAAATAAATTCGGAAATTAAGAAATAGAGAAAAATATGTCACCACTTGAATGAATCATTGTTGACAAAGTAGCGAGTAATTATTTACAAATTTTAAATTACTGTAGGCATTTTCAAACTTTCTTGTTTGGCTGTAACATGAAATGTAGTTTGTAAAAGTTTGTTGCAGGGAAAAACAAGAACTATCTAATAATTATAATTCTAATATTACCAATATTGATGAAATGAAATTTTAATTGCCATAACCACAACAATTTTATTCCATGTACTCACATTATTTATGTACACACGCACACACAATGAAACTGTTGTTAAATGCTCAAGGTGAATCAATAAATTATGAATCGATTAGCTGTTAAAAATTTCTACTTGTTCAAACTGAAATGAAATTCGTGTCAATTTAAAAAAAAACTATTTTCAAACTCGAATTAAAGATGGAAAGAAAGATAAAAAGAAAGAAAGATAGAAAAAAAGAAAGAAACTCACCTCGTGGTTTCACTAAGTAACCAAGCGATAATAAACTCGAGTTTATTAAAAGGTAAGGGTCCATTTTGCACCACGCACAACATGGTCCAGTCAAACATAAACCACAAAAGTATGTGAACTAAATAAAAGACTAGGGAATCCCACTCAAAAAGTACACTAGCTGCCCATGAAGTGCAAGCACCCAGGACTAAACACTCACTAAGTGGCTCAAGCACAATAGTCAATGGAAGCATGGCAACTCGTAATTTTGCCCATCGTCTCAATCTCGCCTGAAACGATTGCACTTCACAGTGTCCACTATTTTGCATAGCCGGCTGCGAGCACACTGTTATCCTCCAGCCACGAGTCGTTAACGATTTAGCGTAAAAGAAATCCTCCGCCAAATAAACACCAAAACTCTTCAAACCTCCAACCTCCTCCAAAGGTGCCTTCCTCAACAGCGCCGACATTCCCGTATGACAATTAATCCTCAACAAATCAGCGGCCAAATACATTCGCGATTGTACAGTGCCAAAGAATATTTTCTCATAAACCGAAGCGAAACCCTCTCTGTCACACGTGAAAGGCATTTGATGCACCAATGCAACATTATCAGTCATATAATTCACCATATCCTGTAACGTATCCTCCTTCATTCTAATACCACTATCACTTATTAATATTAAATCATGCTTTGATGCCTCATAAGCCGGTTGCATGTTGTTGATTTTTGGATTAACACCAACGCCACAACCACCGACAAACAGCCTCGCGTCAACCTGCGGATATTTCTCCATTAATTTATAAACGAGCATAAGAACAGGATCAGTTTCGTCCTCAACGCAAAATAGAATCTCATACATTGGATATTCCAATAGGAAGAACGTTTCCAAATTGCCAAATAAATTTGGATCAACACCCATTAGAGGTTTTATTATTGAAACACCGGGCCAGGGCGTTTCGTAGATCGGCACTTGCGCAACTTTTCGATGCAGCTTCCAACGACCGGCCACCAACGCAATAATATGCACTAACCACATTGACAGCCAAAATATCATAAAGAATATCGCGAACCCATATAGGGTACATAGCATGTAGTTCATTTTTCTTCGAGATTTCCACAATCTCACGTCATAAGGATGATCCTCTCGCTACTTTTTAACCGGCCGGTGGGGTTATGTAGCACTGTCATCCCTATTTCCGCGATTAATTTTATCAAACCTATCTTTCTCCATTTGGATTTATTCTCATTCTCGCCATGAATTTTCTCCTTCGATACATCATTGTACTGAGATGCAGTAATGCCGGCGTACGCGTCATTTGAAATAAATCAGGAGAGAGAGAGGTACACACCCCGTTGTTCCGCACTGCGAAATTCACCTGTGATATAAAAGATTCTGTCGATTCTCTGTCAAGAATAATTTGTGATTTACTTGTAATTTATTTCTCTTTATAGAAGATACTTTTTTGAATAATCACAGCATGGAAGGCTTTTGGGATTTTTCTTGGTGTGTGTGTGTGTATATATATTAAAGAGAGGAGAGAATTCGAGTAACGCGGCGAAAGGGCGACTCTTTGGAAGCGCGTCACTTTGACTGACACTGGACCCGGTTTCATAAGCATTCATCGAGCTTGACACAATATTATCATATTCCGTGTAATCCAATTAATATTAAACATTGTTTACCGGCACTTATATTTGTTGGAAGGGCGAAAAACTCAATTCAACGTATTTTAACAACACCTTGAACGAGAGGGGTTGATGAGCTGTGAACAGTATGAAAAAATAATAAACTATCACACACCGCACAACGCTTCGCGAACGTTGACTGCGAGACTGACTGGCATCTGCAGGTGACAGTTGGTAGTAGTAGTAAACTTGGCGCGGTCGATTCACTTTGAACTATCGAATCCCCCTTCCACCAATTAAAACACTGCGCGCGCTTCTCTTCAAAATATGAAATTTTATATACACGTGTTTTTTATTTAAACAATTTTTTATCAATTACCAAAAGTTAAAAATTAAGTACAACAAAAGAATTTTAACAAAAATAGGTCATTTATTATTTATCTCTAGAAAAAATAAAACAATAGAAGAGTAAATAAAAATATTTGTACTGTTTCGAAAAAAACTCGATTTTTAATTATTTAAACTATTTTTAATTACCTTTTAATTATGACCGATTAAAAAATTTACAGAACAATTAAATATTGCTTTTTTTACTCAAAAAAAATTTTCTTTTATTTTTTTTTCTTTTTATTATTTTTTTTTTACTTTTTTTATTATTATTATTTTTATTATAAATGTTGCTAAATCAAAAGTGGTTTAATTTTATTTTCCCTTTCGTAACAACAAGATAGCAAGAATTTTGTGATTCATTTATCTTATCAGCCGGTGAAACATTATCACATTTTGCATTTCCACGAGGGAGATTTTCTACAAAATAATATTCAATGATTCATAGATTTCTTTTTTCACCCGATTCTTCATTTTTGTCAAAATTAATGCTTTTAAATCTAAATTTATTTTTTAAAGAATCCAAACTCTGTAAATAATAATTAGAAAAATAATTAATTAACAATTAATAATAGTACCAAAAATAATTAGATAAAAATTGATACTAATCTGAAATAATTTTTTTTTGTATAAATTAATATAAAAAAATTCTGATTTGTTTATTTAAATATTAATTTATTACTATTTATTATATTTACTATTAAGTAAAAAATTTTTTTCTTTTTTAAAGTGAAATTAATATAATTATACGAATAAAGAAGATAAATAAAATCTAATAATAATAAATAAAATAAACAAAATAATAACAATAAAGAAATAAAATTTTTTAAAGAACGTAAGAAAAATAAATAAAAATAAAATAATTGGAATAAAGAAAAGAAATTAATAAAATAAAAATAAATAGAATTAAATTAAAAAAACAAAAGTAGTAACACAAAAAATATTGACAAAAAATTGCCACTAATTTGAAATAATTTTTTTTTTGTATAAATTAGTATAAAAAATTATTATTTTTGTTTATTTGAATATTAATTTATTACTATTTATTTTATTTACTTTTAAGTAAATTTGTTTTTTATTTTTAGAGTAAAATTTATATAAATACGAATAAAGATAAATAAAATCAAATCTAATAATAATAAACAAAATAAATTAAATATTAAGAATAAAGAAATAAAATATTTTTAAAAAAGGAAGAAAAATAAATAAAAATAAATTAAAAAGAATAACAAAAAAATTAATAAAATAGAACTAAATAGAATTAAATAAAAAAAAAGAAAACTAGTAACACAGAAAATATTGACAAAAATTGACACTAATCTGAAATAATTTGTGTAAATTAGTATAAAAAAATTACTATTAAGTAACGAAAAGTTTTTTTTTTAATTTTTAGAGTAAAATTAATATAAAAACGAGTAAAAATGATAAAAAAAATAATAATAAACTAACTAAATAAAATATTTTTAAAAATTCATAAAATAAAAATAATCGAGAATAAATTTAAAAAATGATAGAAAAAATAAACAAAATGGAAAAAAGAGTAAAATAATAATAAGAAAGTACAATAAAAATATAAATAACAAAAAAAACCATCCTCTACATTGTTGAAGAATTTAGAAATAAAAAATTCCCTCGCACATGAAACAATATAGGCACTTATTATTTATTGAGAATATTAAATTAAAAACCGATAAATGCCTCTAAATTACTCCAAATGTCTTTTCCTTGTGAAAACCGATTATTACTTTATTTTTTTAGGCCAAGGACTTGTTTTCATTTTATGAAAAAATTAAATGTACTATGAACTATCCCAAGTGCATTGCTTTATCCCGTCACGCGATCTTGTATAGTTATTTTATTTTTTTTTGCATACTACTGTTGATTCAATTTTGAAATTAGAAAAAAATGCCTACCTGGTGTAATATTTCCAGAAAAACTCATTTGCATAAAAGTTTATTTTGTAAACCTCGCTGCCTAATTAACGATAGCAACAATTTGTTTAAAAAATTCTCGTTGACCATTATTGTCGACTTAAGTTTCACATTACTTTTTTTCTCCTCTTATTTTCTGCTGACGCGCCTCTGATCTGAAACTGTAAACATTTTTTTTAAATGAATCCTTAAATTATAATTCAGCTGATAAAATGAAATTTATTAAATTAATTAGTTAATTAATCCAAATCAATTCAAATTCCAAATTAATTCAAATTAAGCCAAATTCAAGTTTAGAATTAAAATTAGTTGAAAGAAAATATTTAATCTTCAATTTATTTAAGACGAATTGAAATAAAATAAGAATATTAAATCATTAACAAACGACGAAAATTATTGTTTAATTTTTATATTCCGAACTCGAAATAAATATTAGCTCCCAAAAAAAAATAGAATAAATAAAAAATGTACCTCATTTTCCTAAAAGTGTTTATTTCTCTGCAAAGTAAATATACTCTCGTTTTTCAGAGCGGTGTATAAAATAATACAATATTGTGTTAAATACTAAATTATAACATTATCAACATTACATCGTACTCTTGAAAATTCAATAAACGATATATTTATACTCCTGAAATTATGTTTTTAAGTCCATTATCAAGTAGCGATTAAATTTCCATTTAATAATTGAAAAAAAAGAAAAATTCGTCAAGATTCATTTGTTTTTTTATCTTCTCCTAACTTTGAAAAAAACTCACCCAAGCAATAATTTAAATCCAACACTCACAGAATACAAGTCTTTGGCAAAATTGTCACAAGGATCATTTATAACAATATTCCAACAATAATGATCATAATAATAATAATAATACTAAGAAAAACAAAGTCATATAAAAATCGTTGTTTAATTTTCTTTTCTATAAAATATATTATAGAAAAAGAAGTACAGTAACATTGTAAAATTGATTGGAAGACCAGAAATATATAATTATGTGATTAATGAAGCTTTTAAATATTCTCAATGATACAATGAATTCGTTTGTCAGATCATAAAACACGTAACAAAAAAATGCTTCGAGATTTTTTTTCTTTTTTCTTTCGAAGGAATGGAAAATATTTTCAAAAAAAATGAAAAATAACATTTTCTTCCCCTATGGAAATATGAAAAGTAAAAAAAAAATATATATAAGAAATAAAAATTTCTTGACTTAAACCGAAGAAAATATTGAACTATGTTCATATATAATACATTCGTCTTCGAAAAATTGTTCTTTGTTTCAAATTCTGCGTTTGAAGCTTGGGTAAGTACAATCTAAGTAATTAAAGTCGTTTAAGTGAGTAATATTAAAATGGGCTTATGAAATATCAGGCCTCTGCGAGTAAAACTTTTTTTTTCTGCCATTCGATAAATGGCATTTTTTTTTCCTTCTTTTTGTTTTTTAGAATCTTAATTGGTAATTTCCTAGAAAACCTACATTTTTTTCGAATCTTTGTCATATATTATTATTATATACATGTTTATATGCGACGAATTTCAAAATCGCTTGAGCCTATTTTTTTTTCACCGTGTGTACTATTTCTTTCTTTCATTTTTTTTTTTTTTTGCTTTAAATCTTTGATATATACTCGACACTTTCTTATACTTTAAAATATATCCCACGACGAATATCATATAGTAAATGCTTTAAATCACTTTTCCTATAATTTCCTAATTAAATTATTTACATATTATACGTAACTAATTGTTTCTCCGTATTTTTCATTTTATGTATTTTATTTTACTTTATCGCTGTCATATATTTTTATTTCGTCGTCAAGGAACTAATATTCTTTCATTAATATAGATGTTTCAATATATCAATAATAATGTGTCTTTTTTAAAGATAAGAACTTGAACAATATATCTATCGATATAAGATCTCTGGAATGATTAATAATTAAAACGTAAATTAGACTTTATAAAAATACTTTGAACGGCCATATTCATTTAACGTCCTTAATACAATTCCTTTTTTTCCCCTTTCTTTCTATTTTTATAATATTGTTTTGGAAATTTTAACAACTAAGCGTCTTTTATTTCTTTCGTCTTTTGCCATATGTTTTTAGTTCTGGGTCTCGCACCAGCGGCAAAAGTATACACAACTTTATAATTAATACACCTAGATTCCAATTTGGAAATCTAGACCATTGCAGTTTATATTTTTTTTTACAAAAAAAAAAAAATAGAAAACAGAAAAAAGTATAGAAGAAATTTAAAAAAATAGAAAAATTAAAAAAAATGCTTATCTAAAAAACAAAAAAAAAAAGAATTTACAAAAATGAAAAGTATAAAAAAATAGTTTACTTGATTTTCAAGCAAAGGAAAGTCAAAGTAGTTTAAAAAAAAGAGAGTTACGCCCCTTTTAACCGGAGTTTAAGATATGAAACATCAAATCACAATTTTGATTATATACATAATACAAATTTTTCGTTTAACAATAACAAGCAGACCCAGTGCTTGATTTCTTTTTTAACATAATACCATTTCAATACCATTAATATTTTTCTAAATTTTCCCAAGATTTCCTAATTTTTCCTTTCATTGTGTCAATTATTTTTTTCAATATTGCTAATTAGTTTTGTTCATTTCGAATTTTTTGACGCATGGCTAATTATCGTTCAATCTGACAATAGGATTGGCTAATCTTTCATTTTGACAATAGAATGGCTAATTTCAATTAGACAATAAAATTACTAACTTCAGTTAGATAATAAAATTTCCAATTGAAATTAGACAATAAAATGGCTAATTTTGAATTAGACAATAAAATGTCTAATTTCAATTAGACAATAAAAATGACTAATTTCAATTAGATAATATAACGACATATTCTTCGATAGAAAACGACTAATAATTTTTTTTAATTTTGACAATTAATAGTATGGTTATTAATAATAATAATTTTTCAACATGATTGGTTTTCTAAATTTATATGTATATACATGGAAATTTATTTTAAGTAAGGAACTTTCATTATAACAATAATTACAAACGCAGATAGGCTGCCACCGTCTTTGTTTTTAATTTCCTATAAAGCGAATTTCTTTTTCAATTCTGGCAAATTTATTTTCACTACAATAAATTTTGTTTTGCCTTTCCTTTTTTTTACTGTAATTTCTATTCACTAAGAGAGGAGAGAAATATTTACAAAAATATTATCAAAAAAAGGGTAAGAATATATTTTTTATAAAAAAAATTGATTGTCTACAAAATTGAATTGAAAATTTGTTTCATAAATTTATACTTCTAGTTTTGTAAACTAAACTTCAATATAATATTTATTAATAAGTGAATAAAAAAAAAGTTTTTCTTTCTAATTCAAAGGAAGGCAGAACATTTGTTTTAAAATTCCCTTTTTGGGATTCTCGTCATCGTCAACGTCGTCATAATCGTTCTCGTCATAGCCACGTGTTACTACGGAATTATTGTTATTATTGCCAGAATCAAAAACATCATCGGCAATGCTGATTGAACGTGAATAGACTGGACTTTCGTATTGAAAGGGGAAAGGTGGTGGCAGCCGATATTCGTTGTAATTACTATCGTTCTCGTGGGAGTTTCTCATTTCAAATAGATTGTCATGTTCATTTTCACTATAAATGTCTAAATTGACAACGGGAAAAGGTTCAAAATGAAAACTAGCCAGCCTCTCTTGCAATTCGTACACATTATTAACATCGTACATGTCACAATGTTGACGAAATTGCTGATGCTGCTGCTGTTGTTGCTGTTGTTGTTGCTGTAACTGCTGCTGCTGTTGTTCTAGTTTGTACAGAACAATTTGTTCTTCATCATAATCCATTTGCTGTTCTTGTCACACACAATCCTCAAGGGACATTAGTAACGGATTCACATATTCGAAACCCTCAAACTCGGTTTGGTCAATTTTATCTATCACTCGTCTGAAATTGAAATTTTCATTAATTCACATTCGCTTTCTCCCAGATATATTCACAATAATTAAAATACTCTTTTCTTTACTCAAATTACGAAAAGAGAAAAATAAGTAAAAGGAAAATTTGAATTTCAAAACTAAAACTTAGTTAATTAAAAGTTTAATTATAAATTAATAAATTGTGAACCATATAAATTTACTGAAACTATAAATTAATTTCTAATCCCCTTGATTTTAATTTAATTGATAATTCCAAAAATTGACAAATTAATTAAAATTCAAATTTTTAGGAAATGAATTAAAATTAGTTTAATTAGACTAAGTTTGCCGATTACATTAAAATCCTTTTAGAATTAGAAACAAAAAACTGTTTAAAAAAAAAAGGAAAAAAAAGTATAATTACTTTAAAGTTGAATAAAATTTGCGACTCAACTTTTGAATGCACGTGTTTCTTTTATGCTTGAATAATAAAAAAGGAACTTACGGATCATCGGGTGTGAGATGTACTGGTTCATCCGTAAATTCAGGTGGGAAGTTTGCCAAATCGCGATCGGAATCCAAGCGCGGCTTATAAGGCGGTGTGACCTGCTTTTGCTCCAACTGGAACATAATTTCAACATTTTTAGATAACAAATCTTCCGCAAAGAAAAAGAAAGCTTTCTAGACAAGTGAAAAAGTCACTTTTTTTACATCTGTCGAGGAAAAAAAATCCTCTTCATCATTTATCTCTTTTTAGAAAAGAAAATTTCTCTCTCTCTCTCTCTCTCTCTCTCTCTTTCTTTCTTTCTTTCTTTCTTATCACTAATATTTCAGTTATATCACAAATAATTCAAATTCAATTAAAATACAAAACAGAAAATACTAAAAAGAACTTTTTTTTAACTAGACAAATTTTTTAAATGTATTATTTACAGAAGATGGCAAAAAATGTTTAAATAAAATATTTTTGAAAGTAACTTATCTGAATTAATGTTAATTTTTTCAATTGAATTAAAATTTTTAATTGAATTTGTTTTTTAATGATTTAAAATAGAATTTTCTTTTTCATTCAAATAGGAATTAAAAATTGAATTTTTTTCTTAATTGTATTAGAAATTAAAAATTGAATTCTTTTAATGTAATTAACAATTTTAAATTGAATTTTTATATTAAGTACATTAAACATTTAAAACTGAATCTTTCTTAATTGAATGAAAAATCTAAAATTGATGCATTTTAATTGAAATTAAAAATTTAAAAATATATTTAATTTTCAAATGCATTAAAAATTAAGATTTTATTTTCGTAATTAAATTGAAAACGAAAAACTTAATTTGATTTTAATCGAATTAAAAATTAAAAAATAAATTTTTTTTATTTAAATTAAAAATCTAAAATTGATATCTTTTAATTGAATTAAAAATTTTAAACTGAATTTCCTTTTTAATTGCATTAAAAATTGAAGTTTTTATTATTGAATTAAAAATTATAAATTGAATTTTTTTTTAATTGCATTAAAAATAAAAAATTTAATTTTTGTAATTGAACTGAAAAATTTAATTTGCTTTTAATTGAATTAAAATGAAAATGTAAAATTGAATTTTTTTAATTGAATGGAAAATCTAAAATGAATATATTTTAATTGAATTAAAAATTAAATTTTCCTTCTAATGTAATTTAAAATTGATTTTTTTTATTAAATTAAAAATTTTAAATTGAATTTTCTTTTTAATTGCATTAAAAATAAAAAAACTTAATTTTTGAAAATTGAATTGAAAAATTTAATTTGCTTTTAATTGAATTAAAATGAAAATCTAAAATTGAATTTTTTTAATTACATAAAAATCTAAAAATGGATTTTTTAAATTAAAATAAACATTTAAATTCAATTTTCTTTGTAATTGAACTACAGATAAATAATTTAAACCTAATTTCTTTTAAATTGAATAAAAAAAATAAAATTTTTTAAAAAGTTTACTTTTTAAGTGAATAAAAATAAAAAATTGAATTTATTTTCAATACCTAGAATTAAAAATTTCAAACTACATTTTTTTTGACATGGAAATTTAAAATTGAATTGAAAATAAAAAATTTGACTTTTTTAATTGAATAAAAAATTTAAAACTGATTTCTTTGAAATTGAATTAAAAATCTAAAATTGAATTCTTTTAATCGAATTGAAAATTGAAAATTATATTTTCTCGTTAATGGAATTACAAATTAAAAACTTAAATTTTTAATTGAATTCTATTTAAATTGAATAAAAAATGAAAAATCGATTTTTCAAAGTTAAAATAGTTGAATATTTGAAATGATGAAAATAAAATGAAGGAGCAAGCGTACCATTTCCCAATCGATAGCCTTGAAGAAGGGATGTCCGACAATGTCGAGAAAAGCGGTTGGACCACGACCACAGCCAAGTCTCTCCGCGGGATCTTTGCTGAGGAAGCCCTTAAGGACGGACGCCGCTTTCACAGAGAGCGAGCGTGGAATTCGAATTGTCTTTTGCAAAATAACTTGAAATAGATAGTCCTCGGTATTCTGATCAGGATTCTCCGATGCACCGGCAATATCAAATGGACTTCTACCAGCCAGCATCTCGTACAACAATACACCCAACGCCCACCAGTCCACCGAGAAACCATAATCCTCGCCTCGCAATATCTCTGGGGCAATGTAATTCGGAGTTCCGCAAAATGTTGCCGTTGTATCGCCCTCCCTAACACCTTCCTTACACATTCCGTAGTCTGTCAATTTCACATGACCCTCATGATCCAGCAGCACATTGTCCAATTTCAAATCTCGATAGATTATTCCTGTTGGCAATTCATTATTCACTAGATTTATTGTCCATTACAAATTACTGATTCATTACAAATACCAATTAATCAACCTTTTCCCAATCGTACCAGTAATTTCAAAATAAATTAATACATTAATAATCTATATTAATAATCGTTGTATTCCGGTAATTGCTGTTTGCTTTTGTGTTTCCTAAATTTTAAAATAATTTTTCTTTTTATATGTTTTCAATTTTAAAATTAATGTACTGAAAATCATTGAATTCTTGTAAAGTATTTATAAAAAGAATTTAAAAATAACTGAATTTTACGAAGAATTAAATTATTTTCAATAATTCTAATAAAATTCTTTAGACAATTTATAAGTAATAAAAATCTTCGTAAAAAATTCAATTATTTTTATATAAATAATAAAATTCTTATCAGGATTTCACTTATTTTCAATACAATTTTAATAAATTTCTTCAAAGATTTCAATTATTTTTAAAACTCTTGTAAAAATTCTCCGAGAAAATTCAATTATTTTAAAAAATAATTAAATTTTCGCTGGAATTCAATTATTTTAAATATAATTTTAATAAAATTCTTTTCAAAAATTCAATTATTTGTAGAAATAATATATTTTTTCGCAGGGATTAAATTATTTTAAAAAACTTTTAGTAAAATTCTATTCAAGAATTCAATTTTTATCAATAATTCGAATAAAATTCTTTTGCCAATTTATAAATATAAAATATGTAATAAAAATATTCGTAAAAAATTCAATTATTTTTATATAAATAATAAAATTCTTATCAGGATTTCACTTATTTTCAATACAATTTTAATAAATTTCTTCAAAGATTTCAATTATTTTTAAAACTCTTGTAAAAATTCTCCGAGAAAATTCAATTATTTTTAAAAATAATTCAATTTTTCACAGGAGTTCAATTATTTAAAAAACTTTTAATACAATCCAATTCAAAAATTCCATTATTTTTAAAAATAATGAAATTTTCGATGGAATTTAATTATTTTAAATACAATTTTAATAAAATTCTTCTCAAAAATTCACTTCTTTTTTTAAAAAAGCTTTAATAAAGCTTTCTTTAATAATTTTTATTGGAAATTTTGAAAATAATTAATTTTTAAGAAGAATTTCTTTTAAATTTTTAAAATTAAAATAATCGTGATTATTATTAAATGTAATTAACGATTTTCCTATTAAATTATGTTAACATTATTCATAGAAAATTAAATTCTTTTAAACAATTATATAAGAGTTTTTGTAAATAATTACATTTTTTTAAAGAATTTCAGTAAATTTCGTAAAAATAAAGTAATTTTTTAAAGTAATTTTAATTACAAAGTTTGAAAATAATTGAAATTTACAAAGAATTTTGATTAAAAACTTTTACAATTTTTAAGAATAATTTAACCTGTTGGAGAAATTTTATTAACATTATCTTGAATATAATTGTATTTTTTTCCTAGAAATTTAATTAAATTTCTATTGAAAATAATTAAATTTCTGAGAAGAATTTTATTATTTTCAAAAATAATTGAATTCTTGCCAAGAATTTTACAATTTATAAAAATAATTGAATTAAGAATTGAAGAATTTAAGAATTTTTTATCATAATTGTTGAAAATAATTGAATTTTTATTAAAACTCTTGAAAATAATTGAATTTAAACAATATTTTTAAAAATAATTGTATTCTTTCTGGAAATTTTATTAAAATTGTATTAAAAATAATTGAATTCCTCCGAAACATTTTATTATTTAGGATAATAATTGAATTCCTTTGTAGAATTTTATTATTTATGAAAATATTTTAATTCTTCCAAAGAATTTTCTTATCAATGCGAAAATAATTGAATTCTTGCGGAGATTTTTACGATTCATAAAAATAATTCAATTGTTTCGAAAAATTTTATCGGAATTTTTGAAAATAATTGAATTTTTTGAATAAATTTTATTAAAAATTTTGAAAACAATGATTTTTTTAAAAGAATTTCATTAAAATTGTTGAAAATAATTGAATTTATATTAAAATTCTTGAAAATAATCGAATTTAATTAATATTTTTAAAAATAATTGTATTCTTTCGAGAAATTTTATTAAAATTTTTGAATAATAATAAACAAGACTATTTAATATTATGTACTTAATACGTGAATTCGTTAAATTTTAAATATGTACATAATCATTAAAAAATTGATGTTTATTCTTGAAAATATAAAATTTTTTAATTTACAAAATAATAAGCAATGGAATACCGCGTTCCGCGCGCTGGCATGCGTATCATTTGCTAGTAATAATAATAATTTCGCATTAATACAAATGCAATATTTAAAAAATTTGTTTGCAGAAAAATAATTAATATTATCAACTTTTAAAATTAATCGAATCGTGAAATTCTCAAGAGCTCAACTTGAAAAAGAATGTTTCATTTTCCAAAAAGAATGACTTCATAATTAAGCCCTTTTCGAAATTGACGATTCAATTGATTGATTAATTAAAATAAAAAATAAAATTCACCTTTTTCGTGAAGGAAATTTAAGGCAAGGCTGATCTCAGCTGCGTAAAAACGAGCGTGCTCTTCTGGAAGACGACGTTGCCTCTGCATGTGAAACATGAGATCGCCACCGCGAACAAATTCAATGACAAAGAATAGACGTGACGGCGTTTGGAAGCACGAGTGAAGGCCAACAAGGAATGGATGATTCGAGGCAGTTTCAAAGACATGTTTCTCCGTTTGCACCCAGTCAATATCCTCATCGTCAGTGACCAATGCCTTTTTAATGACTTTCATCGCGTAAATTCGTCTCGTACGCTTCAATTCGACCATGAGGACCTTTGCATATGAACCACGACCAATTACTCTAATAAGTTCAAAGTCATTTAAGGAATACTGTCTCTGCATATCGCCCGCACCATCCGCGCCAGCCATTGCGTCCAATGCCAATTCTTCTCCTTCATCGCTGACCGCTCCTATTAAATGAAAATACAAGTAATATCATTTTTATTTCAAAATTTAGTATTTTTCTAATTTCTAATTTCATTTTTCTAATTTCAATAGTTCCGAAAAGGAATTTATGAAAATAATTTTTTTTTAACCTAAATTATTCACTTCTTTAAATTTTTATTTTATCACTCGGTCGTTTTAATTAATTTATAGAACAATGAGGTGAACGATTACTCCGAATCAAATATTCAAAGATTTTAATTTTATTCTCGAAATATTGAATCACGTGTCAAAAAATTATATTACAAAAGTTTCGAAATATTTAATTTTCTTTTTTTTATATTTTTACTGTGATTAATAATTTTTTGAAAGTATTTACAGTGAAAAATTATTCCATTCAATTGAACGTTCGGAAATTTGAATTACAGACCTTTGATCGACTTTAAGATGCAAAAAAAACTGTTTTAGTTGACTTAAAGTAGAAAAAAGTGGATTATTGTATTCCCGAATATCACGAAAATTTGATTTTGTATTTCCCTGATTTTCAGAAAAGTTTTTGAAATGTTCACATATTCCGATAATAACTTCAATTCTAAGTTTTTGTAAAAGTCTTAAATTTCATTACTTCTAAAAAATTCTTGCAATTTAGTTTACAAATTAATTCTTACAATATTTAATTGATTTTAAGAATGTTCAAGAATTTCCAAAAATTTTTAACTAAAATTATTCAAAAGTTTAATCATTTTTTTAAAATAAGTATTTAAAGATAATTGAACTTTTGTATTAATTAAAATCTTCAAAATTTTGAGATAAAACCTTCTGGAATTTATTTATTTCTTAAAATTGCTATTATAACGTCTCCAAAAATTTGATTATTTACTGGAATTTTTAATTAAAATTTTTTTCCAAATCAATTATTATTTCTAAGAATTTTCAAAAAGTTTTTGAAAATTGAATTATTATTCAAAAAAAAGAAAGAAAGTTCACTCAAAATTCATTCTTTAAGTCCAATTCTTTTTAATTGAAGTTTGAGATTATTTGAAAATTTCCCAATTGAAAATATTTTCAAAAATTTGTTTATAAAATTACTAATAAAGAACTAATTTTTCAAAAAAATTAGAATTAAAATTTTTCACATAGAGCCAAGTTGTTTAAAATTTATAAATAAAATTATTCAAAATTCAAATGTTCATAATTTTTAGTTTAAAACCTTTTAAAATTCAATTATTTCTCAAAATTTTCGAAATAACTCTTTCAAAATTCAAATTAATATTGTCCATAATTTTTTATTAAAAATGTTCTCTAAATAATTTTACGGAAATTTCAAAAAATGACTAATAAATAACTACTTTTCAAAAAAATTAGATTTAAAATTTTCCGAAGATCTAAGTTGATTAAAATTTGTAAATAAAATTATTAAAAATTCAAATATTCATAAATTTTTAATTTGTAACCTTTTAAAGTTCAACTATTTCTCAAAATTTACTCTATAACTATTCCAAAATTCAAATATTTTTCATAATTTTGTAATGAAATTTTTCTCTAAATCTACGATTTTTAATAAATTTTTTTGAAAATTCTTCGAGAATTTAATTATTTATAAAAGACAAAAAGAGTTTATTTAAAATCCCTTTTTTAAATTCAATTGTTTTGAATCGAATTTTACAAAACTTTGATTATTTAAAAACTGTTCAATTGAAAATTTTTTCAAAAATTTCGAAAAATAATTAATAAATAACTGATTTCCAATAAAATTAAAATTTAAATTTTCGAAAGATCTAAGTTGTTTAAAATTTGTAAATAAAATTATTCAAAATTCAAATATTCATAAATTTCAATTTGTAACCTTTTGACGTTCAACTATTTCTCACAATTTAAATATTTTTGAATTTCCAGATTATTTTTCATTAAAATTATTCTCTAAATCAATTATTTTGAATATTTCTTAAAAAAATTCTTCTTGAATTTAATTATTCAAATAAAAATAAATCCGTTCTTTTTATAAAAATTGGAACTTCATTGTTTTTTTAAAAGTTTTTAAAGTTATTTTTCTCACTTTGAAAATCAAAATAAGTAGCATTTTTCGAAAATAATTTTAAAAAATTCCTCTTCTTTTGAAAATAATCGAAAAAAGTCAATATCCAAGGCCCGGAATTAAATTATCCAATTGACATAAATCCATTTGGATTTCCAAATACTCCGAATATTTATATTTAATCACGAAATAGAAGTAAAAAATTATCATTTTGAGACAAGCTTTCAACAAAGTTGAGCGACGACAATGAAATGTGCAAACCTAATTTATACACGATATTTGAATTTCAGATCTTTGCAAAGTCATGTTTTGAATTTTCTCTCTTTGAATTTCAGATCAAGATGATGAGGGATTAGTAAGGCTTTTTGCCCAACATTGACAAATGGGGGCGAAAAAAGAGAAAAAAAAGGGGAAAAAAATAGAAAACTTACGATTGCGATACGCATGGTCCTCAACTGTCGACGCCTCGGTTGTGTCATCTTCAAGATGAGTCGGTGGACTCGACTGTGGCGAATCCAATTGTTGCTGTTCACCATTTCTCTCGCTTGTCTGCTGCTCCAAATGCGATTGTTGCTGTTGCTGTTGTTGCTGACTGATGCATGGCGATCGTACCACCTTGTGACATTTCTTGTGCACCAAAAGCTTACATTGTATGCATTTGAAACCTTGTCTACCGAGACCCCAAATTCTGTCGTGACAATAGGCGCACGAGGCTCTCTGAAATTTCATCCAATTATTTCAACTATTTTCGTATTAATTGCGTTCTCCTAATTTCAATTTTAAATCGAAACAATTAAAATCAAAATCAACAAATCAAAATCAAACAAAATAAAAACCAACAAAACAAAATCGAAAAAATCAAAATTAACAAAATCAAAACCAACAAAACAAAATCGAAAAAATCAAAATCAACAAAACAAAATCAAAAAAATAAAAGTCAACAAATCAAAATGAAAAAAATAATAATTTATTATCAAGATTAATACAATTTCAACAAAGAATTTAAAAACGAATAAAAGAAAGAATTAAAAAATAAAAAATTGAATTAGAGTTAGAAACCGAATTTAAAAATCTAATTCATGATTTTTATCTCTATGAATTTTTGATTAAAAGAAAAATTTGAAGAACACAAAACAGGAAAATGAAAAAAAATCAGAATAAATTTGATCGGTAAAAAAAAGAAAAATAGATCTTTTCTTATAAAAATTTAAAGTACACAAAACAGGAAAATGAAAAAAATCAGAAAAAATTTGTTACGTAAAAAAGAAGAAGAATAGAGCTTTTCTTACCCGGTTGAAACGTTTCGCTTGAAATATGTGTCCATTCACTCGATAAAGCTTCCTCCATCTTCGAGCACCTCGTCTATAAATGCTCCCTGAATAGAAATAAATTCATTAATATTTAAACACTATTATCAAGCACAGATATAATATATGAAGAATATAAACTATAACTAGGTCGCTTGATTATATAAAAAAAAGAGGCGAGAGGAAAAAAAAAGAAAAATAGTTATCTGCTGGAACATCAGCAAAAAAAAATATACAAAGTCACTTTTTTCAACAAAGAAGGTCAAAAGAATGAAAATAAAATTATTATATAGACTTTAATGTACATCGCGTTTTTATGTTGTTATTGACATCATCATCATCACTATTGACATTGCCGAAGCACGCAAACATTGTTCTTCATCTAATTCTTAGATTTGGTAAACTGAATAAATGATTATAGAAATTCTTCGATTTAAGCATTTTGGGAATTACGATGAAAACATGACACACGTCTTGAGTCCAATAACAAATACCGCCAGATTTAAATTTTTAATATATATACATATTAATATTAATTGTCGAGAAATAATTTTTCCACTATTTAAAAGAAAAGTCCGTTATTTTAAATAAAAGTGCATTTAAAATAACAATGCATTCTAAATAAAATTTAAATAAAAATCCATTATTTCTAATAATTACAAAAATTAATTACAAAAACATAGAAAAGAGAAAAAACAATAGTAATTCACATTCATGTAATTACATTTTTTTAATTTCAACGGCCGAAAAAATCTCTTTTGCCAAAAAAAGACAAAATAGCAATTCGCATTTTTATAAATAATTACATTTTTACCTCAACGACCGAAAAAAAATCTCTTTTGACAAAAAAAAACAGAAAACAAAAAAATAGCAATTCGTATTTTTATAATTAATTCCTGTTTTATTTCAACAGCCGAAAAAATCTCTCTCTTGACAAAGTATAATTTTAATTGTAAAATTAGCATTTATTATAGGGAAATGAAATTAAAAAGTTCACAATAATTAATTGAAAATTCAAATTTTTAAAACGTAATATCAGAAAATATTATACTTGTTAATAATTTTTGAATGTGAATTACAATATTAAAAAAATAATAGAAATAGTAAAATTTTGTCCAGTGAATTTGAATAAATAAATAAATAAAAACGTCAAAAATAATAAAATAAAATAATACAAATAATAAAAATAATAGCAATAATAAAATTTTGTGCCCGCGAATTTGAATAAATAAATAAATAAACACAATACAATTAGTAATAATAGAAATGATAAAATTATGTGCCCGCGAATTTGAATAAATAAATAAACATAATACAAATAGTAATAATAGAAATAATAGAAATAATAAAATTTTGCGCCCGCGAATTTAAATAAATAAATAAGTAGAAATAATACAAATTGTAATTATGTAAATGATAAAAATAAGGTAAAAAAAGAATAAATAATAAATAATAATAATAAATAATGAAAATAGTAATAATAATAATAATAAAAGTAATAATGATAATAATTTTCAGCATTCATATAGGAGACGTCAATAATGTCATTTAATGAACGAGTTTAATGAGGCTCAACAATGCACGAAATTTAACGATAGGAAATTTAAAAAAGTAGAACGGTAGTGACGCAAGAAAGAAATTACACGGCTCGTTAATTATTTCTTACAATGTCATTTGCACTGACACTACATTACAGATGACTATTTTGATTAATTTTTTGCGAAAAAAGACAAGAAAAAAAAAATTCTCAATACTCACTGTCTTCCCCCTGACAAGGCATACCAGGCGCTGGCGGAACATTTGGAAAAACTGTAACAGAAAAAAATTTCATTTATTAATTACTTCGTTTCGAAAATAATTTAGATTGCAAATATTTTAAGTACAACAATAAATTTTAAATATAATAATAAAAATACTGTTAACAGTAATATTATTGTTAATACAATAATAAATATTAATCTTATTTATTATACATAGTTCATGCCTTTCGGCTTTGAACGAATAATAAATATTAATAAATATAGAAGTCAATATAATTTGACAAGAGAATTGTTAATATAATTTGTCAAAAGGAATTAATAAAATATTACGAGTATACAATGACTAAAGTCATTATTATAACAAATAATTATACAAACACTATTACGATTAAAAGTCATCGTTCTCAAATGAAATTAAAATAATGAAAAAATGAATTTACACTTTTAATTATAATGACTGTAGTCATTATTTAAAAAATACACTAATTACAATAGAGTAATTATTATATCACTGAATATATCGGATTTACACGCTAAATTTAATGGAAATATTTTTTGGGGACAGTACATTGCGTTGATTTAGGTGAAATAGAAATTCTCGATTCTCTCTCGCACAATCAAATCCACTGGAACCTGTCAAGAAATTAATGAATCTTATCAACCATTATCTTGATAAATGCGATACAACGAGCAGAAAACTCAATTCGAAAAATTAAATTTATCAATGAACCTCGAATTAAAATTTAAAAGAAATAAAAGAATCAAAATTTTCGAAAAATAAAAATCAATTTCGAATAATTGGAAATTATTTCATTCATTTCGCTATTAAATTATAGATGAATTTCAAAATTAAATTTAGAATTTCTATCGGAATTTCTTATTTATCGAGATTTTTATTTCATCAAATTTTTATTCAATCACTTTTTTAATTTAATGGATTTTTTTAACGTAATAGCGAAATTTTCTTTCAAAAATTAAAAATAAAATTTCGCGTGACACAAATTTACATAATGAAATAAATTTATTTTCAAATATCAATTTTAATTTTTGAATTATTTTCGAGACAGATTTTTAAAAAATTCATTTTTTAAACTAATTAAATATTATTATTATTTATAATTTTAGAAATTTTAATAAAATTCTTCGCAAGGATTCAATTATTTTCAAAAATTTTAATAACATTCTTGTCAAGAATTCAATTACTAATTTGATAAATAATAAAATTCTTCTTAAGAATTTAATTTTCACTACAATTTAAACTGAATTTCTCAAAAGAATTTTAATTTTCTTCGAAACATAATTCAATTCTTTAAAAAATATTAATAAAATTCGTCGCAAGAATTAAATTATTTTCAATACAATTTTAATAAAATTTTTCGCAGAAATGCACATTTTTCAAAAAATAATAAAATTCTTCTTGAGAATTAAATTCTTTTTATAATAAAATTCTTCACAAGAATTTAATTATTTTCAAAAATTTTAATAACATTCTTGTCAAGAATTCAATTACTATTTTCATAAATAATAAAATTCTTCTCAAGAATTTAATTATTTTCAAAAATTTTAATAAAATTCTGGTCAAGAATTCAATAATTTTCATAAATAATAGCAAAAATTCAATTATTTTCTAAAATTTTAATAAAATACTTCGCAAGAAGTCAATTATTTAAAAAGTTTGACAGAATTCTTTATAAGAATTATTAAATTATTTGCAATACAATTTTAATTAAATTTACAAAAATTATAAAATTTTTTGTAAGGATTCAATTATTTTGAAAAATTTTAATAAAATTCTTGTCAAGAATTCAATTATTTTCATAAATAAAAAAATTCTTCGCAAGAATTCAGTTATTTTCGAAAATTTTAATAAAAGTCTTATCAAGAATTCAATTATTTTCATAAAATAAAAATTCTTCGTAAGAATTCAATTATTTTCGAAAATTTTAATAAAATGCTTCGTAAGAAATTAATTTTTTAAAAAATTTGGAAGCATTATTTATAAGAATTAAATTATTTTCAATCCAATTTTAACTAAAATCCCGAAAAGAATTGAATTGGATTATTTACAAAAATTTTGATACAATTCATTATAAGAATGAAATTATTTTCAAAAATAATCAAATTCTTCACAGGAATTCGATTTTTTCATAAATAATAAAAATCTTTGCAACAATTGAATTATTTTCAAAAATTTTGATAAAATTCTTTACAAGAATTCAATTGTTTTCATAAATATATAGTTGAATGAAAATTCATTCAAAAAGAAGAAACAATACCAAAATTCGTCCTCATCATTCAAAGTGAATATTCAGACAGAAAAATAAGAGAAATACTTTTCGAAAATTCCTAAAATCAGAACGTGTCAGAGTTGAAATGAGATTAAAAGATCCCAAGAGTGTATTGCTCATAATGAACCAAATCTAATTTATCATTCTGTAAATATACATATATATATATATTATAAATGTGAGGTGTAAATGAGCTAGGCTTAGTGTTTACTATTCTGCTGAATGTGCAGGGACGTTGAATATAATATCAATGATTAAGAACTTGAGAGGGCGGCAGTCATGCGCAGCTGCAGATATTTGCTCTGTGTTCCAACAAAATACTAAAAAGGGGTGGAGTTATTCGGCGTTCACCCATCTCAAAGATACGTCTACACGAAAATGTGAAATTCAGAAAGCCGAATATATATAAACTCATGTGATTATATATATGTGAAAGATTCCAAAGTACTTAAGTACATAATGGCTTTCATTTAACGTATGCTCCACCTTCAATTGACACTTCTTCAATATTGAAATTAGGAAATACGATCACCAGATGTATTTAATTTGCAAAAAATAGTTTTCCAACGTGAGTCCCCATCCTTTATGGATTCAGTCCTTTGCTTTTTTTTCCCTCATAACGACGACGACGACGACGACGACGTCGACAACGGCACCTCAAACTTTTCAGAACGCTAATGAGCAAAATGCTTGGACAAGTTTTTTTCTTTTTCCTCAGAAGAAGTCATTTTCCCGTCATATTTTCAACTCTCATTACAAATTAGAGTCCAATTCTGTTCTTTTTTTCTCCTTTCTTTCCCGACGAAAAAAGTCAAAACTCTGGCTTCTTGACTTTTTTCGAAACCTAAAAAAGTGAAATTAAAATTAAAACAGAAATCTTAATTACAATTAAAACAAATATTAATAATTAAAAATACAAAACAAATTTTAGTAATTAAAAATATAAAACAAAAGTTTTGAAAAAATAGATTTTTTTAAGAAACTTTCAATAGTTTTCAGACGAGACGAAAATGAGAGAAATTTCAGACCAAAATTGAAATATACTAATTATAATTATTAATATCTGTGATTAGTAATTATAATTAAAATTTATGAATTTACATTTTAATGGCGTGTCTAATAAAATATTGCGACAAATTTTGTTTATTCACATCGAGTTTTCGAGGCGAGAAAAATTCAAATAATTCGATACTAACGGAATTTTCAATTTGTATATAATTAATGCTAATGATTCAATCTACTTCGATTTCTTGGGGGACTTGAGGTTGAGAGGCTTTGCTCCTAAGGCATCACACTAAATTATTTGATCATTAGTTTTAATTGGCTATCACAAGCTCGTAAAATAATTTAAATTGTTCCAACAGTTCATTAAAGCCCCTTCGATTATTTAATTCATCGCCAAAAAATGGATTACAATTTTTTGGCAATTCCCCTTCATTCATATTTAATATTACTATTTTATTTGTATTTTTTTATTTATTTAAATTTATTTATATTCATTTAAATTTATTTATATTTATTTGTATTTATTCATATTTATTCATATTTATTCATATTTATTTGTATTATATTTTCTGTTTACTCGACAGAAAATATTTATTAATGAGAGAAAAATCGTTGACAATAATTTTTAATCAATAAACAGATAGATATAAACAAATAAAATAAAAAAGAAAATTCTGAAAAAGGAAACGAAAATTAAAAAGAGGAACTATATTTTTAAATAAAATTCCCTTAATTACAGGAAATATTTATCGCGACTATTTTTCCTACAGCAATTATTATTATTATTACTATTATTAAAAAAGTAGACATACTCATTAGCTCGTTTACAGGTCACAGCAATTTTTTTCTAATAAATTAAAAATATATTTCCTTTTTTTTAATATTGGAATTATTCTTTTAAAAATAATTTTCAGTTATTCACAAATTTCCTTATTCTAAAAAAAATTCACGAAAAAAATTATTCTAAAGAAAGAAATAACTCTGGAAATTGAAGAACAATTACACAAAAATTATACAAAAAAAAAATAATTAAATAAAAATAAAAAAATAATTTTACAAAAGTATATTAATCCTACACATATTGTAATTTACTTTAATTTTTAATTAATATTAATAATTCATTTTAATTCGTAAATTGAATTAAAAACCTAATTTCCAAAAATTCCTTTCAAGAAATTCTCTTTTTTTTCAAATAAAATTCTTTGAAATAAATTCCAAATCAATTCATCAAAATTCAAGACAATAAAACTTGGAAACAAAACAAAGTGAATCAATCGAAATAAAATCAAGCTCTAAATCTCCATTTTGTGTTTAAGTGTAAAAGTCGAAGAAGAAAAAGAAGAAGAAGACGAAGAAGAATAAGGGTAGTGGAACTTAACACAGAATTGAATGTGCCAAGGAAATAAAGGAGTACCTTAGGACATCAGAGTCGAGAGTTTGGGACAAGCTTTGTAAAGTTGGTTACTGCAGTTTGTCGCAATATAGCAAATTCAAAAGTGCAAGCTATGTAAAATGGGGAGAGAAAAGTTTGGCTGCAATCTCTCTTCTCCTCATCTCCCTCTCCTCCTTCGACTTCGTGTCTTCTTTTCAATAAAAATACATTCGAAAAATGATTTTCAAGCCAAGAGTCAATCGAATTTCCCTCACAAGAATGTCGCAGAACCAATTTCATAAAATTTGATGAAAAAAATAGATTTAAAAAAAGCGAAGAGCAAAAGTAAATAAGAAAAAAAAGTAAAAAATGCAAAAAAAAACA